CATGAGGTTGGAGGGTTTAAGGATGTCACCGGTGACCTGACACCTGCTGAAGCCGCACACACCGAACTGTAAGACGGACTTCAGCAACGCGTGTTAGCCTTAAATCTTAACCGAATAAAGAACTGAACGAACTGAAAAAAGAATCACGAGAAATGAAATTAAAAAGGTTGCAATGATTTCTGTCACCACATTAGCTTAGGATATTAAAAACGCAGTGTGATCGGGGCATAGCCCCTAGAACTTTAGTGAAATACTAATTTTTTAGTCCACTTTAGTTGAATGGCAGTCGAGAATATGGTGAATATTGTAGTTTCGTCGTTTGAGAAGCGCATTACAATTAATCGTTTGTAGTTACTGACAATCTTACAATAAAAACTTGCAGCAGAATTCGTTGTTAGCATTTTTCAGGAAGAGACACAAACGGTGGGGTTAAACTCGGAGAAGTCTGACTGACTGATAATGAATGGTATTAAGATTTCGAGTCGTCCAATTCGGTCTGAAATCATACTTGTGACTCGCGCGCACAACTTCCGAGAAAAGAAGAGCCAAGTTATAAAAGGAAGGGAAATTTTGGATTAAAAACACTGACAAAGGAAACGTAAATTGTTTAATGTCGCTCTGAAATTGTGATTGGTTGACTTAAGCTGCAATTATGAATGTGATTGGTTGATTTAAAGTACTACTTTGAGTGTAATTGGCTTATTGAACTGTCTGATAACAACATGGCAAGTGAATTAGTGGAAAACAGGAGTTTTTTTTTAACCAATCACAATCGAGGAAATTTTAATTTTTATTATTAAGGGAGAATTCAAAATAACCCAAGGGTGTATCCTTGTACATGACGAAAGCAATTCTGTTCTGAGTGCTTTGTTATCACTTCTTTAACCTTGGGATTTAGAAATTACTATATGAACATACTCATGATACGAGGAAAGAAGTGAAATTGAAATACATGAACGACCATAACATAAGAAGTTGACAAAAGAAAGCTTAAAAAAATCATTCTTGATCGAGATTCGATTCCGTGAACGGCGCAGTCTTCTACCAATTGAGAGCAACGTTGGGGCAGGTAATTTTGAGAGTTCGTAAAAAATCCGCGAAGAAGGAGTGTTAAACAGCTCTTCAAAAGCAAAATGGCTTAGAAAGGTTCATTACCAGAGGGTAATTGAATTGGCAGTCGTAAAACAACTTCAGTAAAAATGTGCTTGCTCTAAAAGTTCTTCCGCTCGCGACTGAATACCCAGAGCACGTAGGCCCTTCCAGTGGCGTAGCCAACATTTTTTTTTTCAGGTAAGCATAATTTTCCCTCTCCTCCCCAAGTCCCAAAATATTTTTTACGTGCCGTGCATATTAATTTTTTTTTTTCATGGTCACAAAGGTTGTGGTTTGTGGTACAGTATAGTTTTTTCATGGCCATGATAAAAACCACCACAATTTTAGTAAAAATTCAGGAGTTTTTCATGCCATACTTTTAACAGGTTTTTCATTTAAAAACACATGATTTTTTTCGAGATGGAGAGCTGCCATTACCACGGACTTTTAGTGGTATCCGCTTCCCAATGATGATTTGGTGGGGTTTGGTTTTCATGGCCCATGAAGCGTACCAAAAATGATGGCCATGCTAGTTTTCGTGCTATTTTCATGCCATTTTCCTGTTTCAGCAGCAATGCAGTAGGATTACAGACACAATGCCATGAAAATGCCATGAAAATGCCATGATTTAGCGATGACTAACATTTCTACTGCACTTTTATGGTGTTTAAACGATGAAAATGCCATGGTAAAGCCAATTGTAATCGAAATTGGGTTTTTTTTTGGTGACAATCAATACCAGCACTTTGCAATAGTATGTGTAATAATCATTCATAAAATATAGCATTAAGGCCACTGAAAAAACTTTGATATTCTTAAACAGAATCTTATTTATTCATCTAACTTGATGTGCTTTTGTTTTTTTTTTTTATCCAGATGAGAAAAGGACCTCAAAAAAATCTCCCAAGATCTTGCAAGGCCTTATTATCACCAAGATGTCANAACAATTTACTGATCGGAACCGGTTAAACTTTGAAAGTGAAAGCAGCGTGACGATTTCAGTGTGGACAAATGACTCCATAACAAGGAATCCCACAAATTTCCGGATAAAAGAAATCGCAAAAGGTGAAAATGGTATTTTTTAGGCTCACCAGCTACCATTTTTTCGCCCGGCTCTTTGTAACACTAGAGCTTCAGTTGATGCATTGTTTTTAGTACTACTTTTATTTATAGGGTGAGTTACATAATATTTTTGGCTTAAGTTCGGGTGCACGTGCCTCAGTCACCTGATCATAGTAACAGTATCACAGTCACAGTCAAGTATATTTTCAGAAAACTGGTCTCAAGTCATCAGTTGAACTCTCAACCACCAGGCAGCCTCAAGGACTACATCAGTCGGCCAAATAAGCTACTCTAAACTCTACAACAAGGCAATCTAAAGAGATTCAAACAGTAAAGTAGTTTGGAAAAATACTGATCACGGACCAAACTTATTGTCTTTGGCATCATTTTAGCTTAGAGTTTAATTCCGTAATCTATGATTTAATCGCTTTCATCTTAAAAGACTAATGTCCATAAAAAAGATAAATTAAAATGATCTGAGGCTTGGCAAAAACACTTAAATAATTTTCTTTGACGATTTCCTGTAATATCACGATAATTTCTTCCAATTCAATCCAGAGATGGTAATATTTGTGGCTGCTTCTCTTTGTTTATTGCAACTGTATTTGCATTGTTTGAAATTTACATGTACGAATTGCGCGATTCAATACAACCATAGGTGATTGTTTTCAAGACTCCGCCCATAGAGACAGCCCTTAATGCTGGACAATTTGATCTCCACCGATCAACCCTCGTTGCCGACGTCTGTTATTTCTATTTGCACTGGGAAAAGGGACGCCTGCGAAGAGACAGAATCCTATGTGGAAGGGTCGGGTTGTTAGTTATTTTGATTAGAAAGTAAAGATGAGGGAAATTAGAAGCGCGCTAATGTCAAGTTTCCTTTATTGGTTTTGAAAACTTTTTCAAAACCCCGACTTTTTCACGTCACAGTTCACCGGGGAGAGAGGGCATTGCCGTTCTCAAGAGATCATGCTTTCCTTTCTCTCATATTTTCGCATAAAAGTCACCAGCTTTAATATCCAGGAGAAAGACACATCCCGCTGCGTCTCATTGGGGTGGTCTTTCAAATTATTCCACTGTAAATGACAGTGTTAATGAACTGATAAGTATCTTGCTTACAGAAGCGTATCTTTCTGCTTCAGGCGGTCTTCATCCGGATTCCAATGACAATGAAGATCCTTGTTATGATTCAACTGCTGTCGTATCTCTTTCTGGCCGCGAGAGCTTGCACCGAGATTCGAGTGAAGGCCGAAGATAACACAGTAGTCGTCGGCCGAACCATGGAGTTTATGATCAGCCTCGTGTCGGACATCATAGTGGAACCTAAGGGGTACTCCCGTACTGCAGCTCTACCAGCGAACTGCGCTAGTCATCCAACTCCCTTGAAGTGGCAACACAAGCACACCGTCGCATACTTGAATGCTTTTAAACTGCCAATTGGTGCAGATGGAATGAATAGCGCTGGGCTGTCAGTGGGTTGTCTTCTGTTTCCTGGCTTTGCCAAATTTCAGGTATTTTGAGGAACGTGGGACACTTTAAGCCGAACATAATCGAAATTCCCAGTTGCTACTTGTTTCTATGACAAGGTTATGTTCATAACAAAGGGCTAGTTTGGTAGAGATTCCGGGAATTAATTTTAGATGGAAAAATCTGCGATGAAAAAAAAAAAAAAAAAAACATTTGAAACGACCGGTTGTTTGGCTGTCAATCAATAGATGGTCATTGTGTCAGGTTTTCTGAAATACTATATCAAATGAATTAAAACACGTAGGGAGACCTCTCATTCCTAATTAGGAGATTTCACATGTGGAGGAGATTTCTTTGCGTCCAACAAGTGTTTCCTACGTGATAAGCTATCATAGGACTGGTCTTTGCCTGGGATACGTCACCTGCACATGACTCCTTCGGATTTCTTAATCGGTAAAATAGTTGCTTTAGAATTTAAGACAGAATCCACCAGAAGTTCGAGTAACGAGTGGACAAAAACCTAATACCAAGATTATTTACATCGTATTGCAAACTTCTGTACGACTGTTTTAAATATCTTCTCAAAAAAAAAATCATTTCCAACAACACCAAAACGTCTTAAACGAATTGTTGAACTTCGTAGGAAACACTTGAAAATACTGGCGAAATGAAACTGATTATGAAATTTTGCGTGTGTTTGCACAAGTTCTCTGAACTTTGAAATTCATTTTCTCTCGTTCCCATGGGAAATTGTTTTCGGTGTTATTACAGGCAATTATTTATGTATTTACCTTTAAGAAAATGTAAAAATGACTGTAAAATACTTAAAATTGTTCTGGTACCAGATTTTTGTCCTCTAAAACCTGAAATTGCTCGATTTTCTATCGGATTTCGTCTTAATGCTTTACTAAGATTGTCGTGTTCATAACATAGGATGTCCCAATCGACAAATGTGGAATGGCGATTTCCCAGCTCGAGTTTGCCCCTTGGCTTCTGGGAAACTTCGCAACGGTCAAGGAAGTGCGTGAGGCGCTCAAGATGGAATCGTTTCCGCTGGTTTTTGATAAAAAGCTTCTGCAGCACACCTTCGAACTGCACTACTCAGTGATAGACAAAACTGGCGAAAGCATCATTATCGAGTTCACAGACCAGGGAAGAAAAATCCATGAGAACCCCTTGGGTGTGATGACCAATTCTCCTCCTTACGACTTCCACATGCTGAATTTTCGTAACTACGTTCAACTCTCCAAGTACGCTCACGAGGACTTTGTTTTGGGTGGAACTCAGTTCAAACCTCTGGGTGAGGGTAGCGGTCTCCTTGGAATGCCTGGTGACTTGACACCCACTTCAAGGCTGGTACGTGCTGCCACTTTGGCAAACTTCGCTGATCCAGTCAAAACAGGCGCCGAGGCCGTCAACTTGGCTTTTCACGTCTTGAATTCGGTTGACATCCCTAAAGGTGTGGCTTGTCACGAGAAACAACAACGCTTTGCAGACTACACCTCCTGGAAAGTGGCTAAGGACCTCACGAACAACGCTCTCTACTACCACGACTATAACGATCTAACTATCCGTGTGGTGTACCTGGACAACGTGCAGGCAGGGCAAAGGCTCAAAATCAAGGTCGAAGCACATGAGGTTGGAGGGTTTAAGGATGTCACCGGTGACCTGACACCTGCTGAAGCCGCACACACCGAACTGTAAGACGGACTTCAGCAACGCGTGTTAGCCTTAAATCTTAACCGAATAAAGAACTGAACGAACTGAAAAAAGAATCACGAGAAATGAAATTAAAAAGGTTGCAATGATTTCTGTCACCACATTAGCTTAGGATATTAAAAACGCAGTGTGATCGGGGCATAGCCCCTAGAACTTTAGTGAAATACTAATTTTTTAGTCCACTTTAGTTGAATGGCAGTCGAGAATATGGTGAATATTGTAGTTTCGTCGTTTGAGAAGCGCATTACAATTAATCGTTTGTAGTTACTGACAATCTTACAATAAAAACTTGCAGCAGAATTCGTTGTTAGCATTTTTCAGGAAGAGACACAAACGGTGGGGTTAAACTCGGAGAAGTCTGACTGACTGATAATGAATGGTATTAAGATTTCGAGTCGTCCAATTCGGTCTGAAATCATACTTGTGACTCGCGCGCACAACTTCCGAGAAAAGAAGAGCCAAGTTATAAAAGGAAGGGAAATTTTGGATTAAAAACACTGACAAAGGAAACGTAAATTGTTTAATGTCGCTCTGAAATTGTGATTGGTTGACTTAAGCTGCAATTATGAATGTGATTGGTTGATTTAAAGTACTACTTTGAGTGTAATTGGCTTATTGAACTGTCTGATAACAACATGGCAAGTGAATTAGTGGAAAACAGGAGTTTTTTTTAACCAATCACAATCGAGGAAATTTTAATTTTTATTATTAAGGGAGAATTCAAAATAACCCAAGGGTGTATCCTTGTACATGACGAAAGCAATTCTGTTCTGAGTGCTTTGTTATCACTTCTTTAACCTTGGGATTTAGAAATTACTATATGAACATACTCATGATACGAGGAAAGAAGTGAAATTGAAATACATGAACGACCATAACATAAGAAGTTGACAAAAGAAAGCTTAAAAAAATCATTCTTGATCGAGATTCGATTCCGTGAACGGCGCAGTCTTCTACCAATTGAGAGCAACGTTGGGGCAGGTAATTTTGAGAGTTCGTAAAAAATCCGCGAAGAAGGAGTGTTAAACAGCTCTTCAAAAGCAAAATGGCTTAGAAAGGTTCATTACCAGAGGGTAATTGAATTGGCAGTCGTAAAACAACTTCAGTAAAAATGTGCTTGCTCTAAAAGTTCTTCCGCTCGCGACTGAATACCCAGAGCACGTAGGCCCTTCCAGTGGCGTAGCCAACATTTTTTTTTTCAGGTAAGCATAATTTTCCCTCTCCTCCCCAAGTCCCAAAATATTTTTTACGTGCCGTGCATATTAATTTTTTTTTTCACCATCAGTATGGTGAGGATATGTTGTAATAGTAAGCGTTCTTATTGATAACTTTTGAACTAATATTGTACGTGATACTGTTAGCTTTTCCAGGAATTCGATGTATTTTATAGGTCACAAGCCCCTTCCTTAAATCCTTGTTTTTAGATTGGAAAGCGCATTTGATCATTTAGCCATCGAAAATGCGCCATATAAGCTCACAAATTATTATTATTATTATTATTATTATTATTATTATTACTATTATTATAGAAATTTGAAAAGTAGCAAAGTTGCAAACATATCCATAGCATATGACATAGAGAAAAATAGTTGACGGGTCTCCTTGCTTCAAAGTTACAACAGCAGGGTTACAATAATGGAGGATATGAGTGACAGCATCACCTTGCAATACTATGCCCAAAACAAGCTGTGAGAAAGTCTGGACTCTCCACGAAGAGTCCAACTCCACCCGAGCAAAAAACAAAATAAAGATAATAATAATATTAGCAGTGGATTAGCATTGCATCCACAGATAATACAGTCCAACTCCATTAAACAGCCACCCACAGGAAAATGGATGGTGGCCGCTTAATGGGGGTTGGTCGTTTAATAGAAGTAAAAAACAATAGAAGAACCCTCATTGGGACTTTGATTGTTGGCCACCTAATAGGGGATGGCTGTTTAATAGGTAGCCGTTCAATAGGGGTTGGACTGTCGGTAATATTTTGTTCTTCCTTTGAAAAAAAGAAAGGCGAAATGCAGGCATCAAGAGTTCCAGTTTCGTTTGTGGGACGCAGTACACTGTGGAACAAAAAGTGAGCACGAACTCTCCTATGGCAGCCTTATGGGATTGTTTTTCCTCTTAATCTTGTCTCCTTTTACGCGAACATTGGAACTTAATACCAAACAATACCAATATTCGCATCATGGATATACCTGAATACCACCAGGATAAAGAATAATGATAAAGAAAACCACGTCATTTTTGACATTCACGAGTTTTAATCACAGTAATGCAATGCGTAACACTTTATTGAGCCAGCTAAATTAATTATGAAAATGCTTTTTGGCAATTAATACCTTTTGTCCAGATTTTAAATGATCACTAAATTAAACCAGCGCAGACTGATTATTCTCCTCATCTGCACTTTTTGACTCTAGAATTTAACACCGAGTGTGGTTGATACTTTTTTTCATAGATAGGTATTTCATCTTTAGATCTACAACGAGAATCTATACTGAAATCTATAAGTTTGTCATTTATTGATTGTTGATTGGCATGCCCGAGTTTGTAAATTTAGCTCATTTGAAATTTGATCAAGGCACTATCTTTAGGCTGGTGAGTTCATGTTTTCTCATCACATGCGTGTATGTTTGAAATAGCATCGGCACAATGTAGGTCTATCACTGTACTTTATAATGCTTCATTTCAGGTCTAAGGTATAAGATCAACCCTTGAAATTAAATCCTTTTCATCAAATTAGAAGATTACCTCATTTTTTCTTACAGACATGTCCCTAAAAATAGCTGTCTTACAGTCAACTTGTTGTGTTCTTTCAGATTTTTCTCAGCCTGTTTTTTTTAGGAGGCAAAGGCTTATCAGTTTGGTTGTCTGTAGACTCAGATGAACGTCTGAGCCCACACAGGTTTAGCCATGGCTCAAAAACCTTATTTTGTTCTTTCCTTAACTCCTTTTACTATGAAAATGAAAATTAAGTCACAATACCATGAAGATATTAAGAGAACTTTAATTGGCTAGTAATGGGAAATTCTACTGGTCTTAACAATGGGAATTACATGGTCACAAAGGTTGTGGTTTGTGGTACAGTATAGTTTTTTCATGGCCATGATAAAAACCACCACAATTTTAGTAAAAATTCAGGAGTTTTTCATGCCATACTTTTAACAGGTTTTTCATTTAAAAACACATGATTTTTTTCGAGATGGAGAGCTGCCATTACCACGGACTTTTAGTGGTATCCGCTTCCCAATGATGATTTGGTGGGGTTTGGTTTTCATGGCCCATGAAGCGTACCAAAAATGATGGCCATGCTAGTTTTCGTGCTATTTTCATGCCATTTTCCTGTTTCAGCAGCAATGCAGTAGGATTACAGACACAATGCCATGAAAATGCCATGAAAATGCCATGATTTAGCGATGACTAACATTTCTACTGCACTTTTATGGTGTTTAAACGATGAAAATGCCATGGTAAAGCCAATTGTAATCGAAATTGGGTTTTTTTTGGTGACAATCAATACCAGCACTTTGCAATAGTATGTGTAATAATCATTCATAAAATATAGCATTAAGGCCACTGAAAAAACTTTGATATTCTTAAACAGAATCTTATTTATTCATCTAACTTGATGTGCTTTTGTTTTTTTTTTTTATCCAGATGAGAAAAGGACCTCAAAAAAATCTCCCAAGATCTTGCAAGGCCTTATTATCACCAAGATGTCAAAATAATAGAAATGAACGTGGAGAGATACTTGACAAAAACGCATGGTTTATCTTTTTGAGTTCTAAAATAGTCTTGAAGAAATTGGCAAAAAATAATATTGATTTTCTCCGCTTGCTAAGTTAATTTGACATCCCCAGAACAGTTTTGCCAGTGCATATCTTATGTATGGTTCTGAGCAGTATTTTTTCTTTTTTGCCAAATTTTTACCTACAGCTGTAAAGACAGCAAAACTGCCTTGACAGGGCCCAGCTAGGATTTTAGACTTTTCAAATTGAATTCACCACTGCTCCTGGTAAAATTTGTTGTGCTATCATCACCATTGCTACTACCCACTTGGAGCATCACAATTTTTGCTAAAATAAGAACCGTTTTCCCGGCGGGATCCTTCTCATTCCCGCCGCGAATCTCGGCAAGAATCTCGCCAAAAAATCTGTTCTCGCCATTATCAAGAAAAGATCTCCTCGGGGATCCCGGCGAGAATCCTGCGTGGAAGCAAAATCTTGGTAGTATTCTCGGCGAGAACCCAGGAAGCAAGTGCCGTTCTAAAACTATCGTGAGCCATGTCTAGTGAAAGTTTTAATATTGATTGCTACCGAATCTTACAGTTCGGTATGTCGAAAGCGGGCCGTGAAGACGAAATCCCACGTGTGTTTTATCTGTAAACACGCCGATCGCGTCTAGACAAACTGAAGCTTTTAATGGCGTCACGACTAGCTGAGTGCTCTTAAACGTGCTTTATAGTTTATAGAAGAAAGATAAGATCTTTGTTGACTCTCGTGTATGTAGCTTTTTTGTTTTGAAATGATGTTAATTAGAAGTCCATAGATAGAATTACCTCTCTGCTCTCAGGATTCCAGTGACCATCACTCAGCGATGGGTTTGGACAAAACGTAAGGTAGACCATAGCCTAGGCCATGGTGTAGGCTATGGCCAACCCTGTGGCCTATCCTACGGCCTACCGGTGGTCCGAATTTTAAAAAAGATAAGCAAAACATCAGTAAGAGTCGAATGAGTAAGGTGGCATAAAGTTCTATCCCTATGGTCTCTTTTATCCCTCTAATATAGGGGGATACTAAAAGGTCATTAACACGATTCTCGACGTCAGACTCAGCCTTGAAACCGCCTATTTCTCGCTGTCTTCGACGTCTTCCCAAGCCAAGCAATCAACCATAACGGCAGGCTAAGAGGCGATATTTCGTGGGGTGATTTTAGCAACCTGCTTTCGTTTTTCGTAGCCTCCCACTCAGACATTCATTTGCCTCGTCACGCACACCTTCTCCTGTGTTCGGGAACACAGCGGAAAAAATGACTGTACATACTTAGTGTTAGGAAGTAGGTATTGAAAGGAATAAGGCATCCTTTTCTTCTAATTTCAAGCCATCAATGGACGGAAACAGGTTTTATAATATTATTCACATCTGCAGACATTGCAAGCTATTGTAATTTCGACAAAGACGCTATGGGAATTACTTTTGAAAAGCTTTACATGATCATTTTTAAATTCGATACGAATGCACGTCGACTTTGAGAAAAACAAATACTACGGTAGTAAAAGCCACAAATTCCCCCCCCCTCTCCCCCAAAAAAAAGATATATGAAAGAAACATATCTAGGGAAACTGTATTTGAGATAAAACATTAGCTACATGTATTTCGTCGCGACCTTAGCCTTGTGAAATGAAAAGATGATGTCTGGGATTTAAAAATGGATATCATTTTGATTCAGGTTCTTTTAACGCTATCATGTTATCCAATCTCTGTCGCTTACGAATGGCACGAGCAGCTTAGAGCGTGTGCGGTCATTTTGCCCCGGTGTCCAGCCTTGTTATCTGCCTTAATTTCTCCTTTGTTGAATGTACATTTTGTTCAGGCTCAGTTCTAACGCAACATAATGTTTTAAGCTCCCTGACAGAGATGGAGCTCGACTGTTCTTAAAGCTAAAACCGGGCCCCGTGCACACTACTCTGGAGGAATTTGGAAACGTAGATTTCACTGTAAAAACGTATCAAATGTGTCCCCACACAACGCCTGAGGAATTTAAAAGCGCAACAATTACCGGACAATTTGCTTGGATTTGTGTTTGAGGAAAACTCAGTAAGGGAAATCACATGATTATCGTGGCATCATTGTTTTCGAAAAGCTCCGTTTTCAAAATGTTCTCTGTCCACACAAAAATGATAAGCCGGGGTTTTTCAAATTCCTCCAGTCCGAAGAGCGTTTTCGAAAAGCTCCGTTTTCGTGACGGATTAGTGTGGACGGTAGGCCTAAGCTTAGGTAAAAAAAATACGTTTTCAAATTTCTCCTTGGTAGTGTGGACGTTGTTTGGAAGATACTGAGTTATTTCTAGATCAGAAGTCTCTGTTATTTTTTCATGATATTATGCGATTTTATGCATGCTCTCTATTTGAGAATGATGTAACCTGGAGCAGCCTGTAGTTCCATGTGGCAACATTAAGCACAGTTTGAGACTCATTCTAATCTGTTTGTCAATCAAACAATCAGTTAATGAACAATCTAGAAATAATACGAAACAAGATACCGAGGCAGAGTCAACGTTTTGGCGATCATAAACTTTCGACTCTGTTACAGCGTCTTTCTCAAGTGAATGTGGCCGGAATCTCTTTGTCACGTGAGTTTAATTGAAGCAAGTCACGTGCCAAAGCATCCCCGTATAGGGCTGGAAGTTCATATCCACGGTCTCGATTTGGTGTCGGGGACTGGCACAGAATTTTCAAGGCCTTACGAATTCTCCTCCTGAAGTTGTTTTATTTTCAAGCTTCCGACCCTATACGGGAATGTTTTGGCAAGTAACTTGGTTCACCCAAGCTCACGTGACAAATAGATTCTCGCCACATTCACTTGAGAAATGACGCTGTGACAGCGTCCAAATCTTGTGATCGCACAAAACAATCACTCTGCTTTGGTATCTTGTTTCTTACTATGTCTACTACAATATCTTTACTCAACATAAAAATAAGTTGAAACCTTTATTTATACACGATGGTAGCAAAGCAATTACTTGTAAGTTAGTGCTCACGATAAAAACAAAAAAATACAATCATGTAGTCTGATAAAATAAATTTAAAACACACAATCAACATGGATATAAAGTTGCTTGAAAAGCAAGCTGTACTAAACTGAGGATAACTAAGATACACCTACTTGTAGTCTTTAAGAGTGATAAGTCAAAAACTTACATTACAAAATAAAAATTCTATGCCTTTGATGTGCACCACTCTGTGTACCGACACCTCACTGGACTACTCCACTTGCAGTCTTGAAATAACAAGTCAAAATTGAAAACTTGCATTATAATAAAATTCCCTTGATGTGCACACTCTGGGTACCGAGACCTTAAGAGACTATGAAGTCTGTACTGCGCGACCACTCTACTTTTTAAAAAAACAAAAATCTTCTGTTTTTGTTTAGTTTTTCCTTTATCCTGAATCCTAAATAGTTATAGCTAGCTTTAAAATGTACAGTACACAACGTACTAAAATTTTCCCTTGGTCTGCACCACTCTGGGGGCCGAGACGTATGGTTGAATACCTGTATAAAGCTGTAGTACACGACTACTTTACTTCTAGTCTTCAACACGTCTAGTTTAAAAAAGTTACATTATACACACTAATTTTATACCAATATGCCCTCAATGTGCACCACTCTGGGTACCGACACCTTGAGGCTATGAAAACTGGGCTTCAAGATCACTCTACTTGTAGTCTTGAATAATAAGTCAAGTAATAAACATTTCATGCCTTTGATGTGCACCATTCTGGGTGCCGACACCTTAAGGCTATGAAAACTGTATTACACGACCACTTTACTTGTAGTCTTGAATAANACAGGACCACTCTACTTGTAGTCTTGAATAACAATTTAAAAGTGAAAACTTGCATTATAATAAAATGTCCCTTGATGTGCACGCTCTGCGTGCCGAGACCTTAAGCCTAATGAAGTCTGTACTACAGGACTACTGTACTTTTCGTGACAAAAAAAATTCTTTTGTTTTTGTTTAGTTTTTCCTTTATCCTGAATCCCAAATAATTATAGCTAGCTTTAAAATATCCAGTACATAACATACTAAAATGTTCCCTTGGTATGCACCACTCTGGGTGTCGACAGTTAAGGTTAAATATATGTATGAAGCTGTAGTACACGACTACTTTACTTGTAGTCTTGAACATGTCCAGCTTAAAAGACTTACATTATACACACTGTAATTTACAGCAATATGCCCTCAATGTGCACCACTCTGGGTACCGACACCTTTAGGCTATGAAAACTGGGCTACAGGACCACTCTACTTGTAGTCTTGAATNGACTCAGCCTTGAAACCGCCTATTTCTCGCTGTCTTCGACGTCTTCCCAAGCCAAGCAATCAACCATAACGGCAGGCTAAGAGGCGATATTTCGTGGGGTGATTTTAGCAACCTGCTTTCGTTTTTCGTAGCCTCCCACTCAGACATTCATTTGCCTCGTCACGCACACCTTCTCCTGTGTTCGGGAACACAGCGGAAAAAATGACTGTACATACTTAGTGTTAGGAAGTAGGTATTGAAAGGAATAAGGCATCCTTTTCTTCTAATTTCAAGCCATCAATGGACGGAAACAGGTTTTATAATATTATTCACATCTGCAGACATTGCAAGCTATTGTAATTTCGACAAAGACGCTATGGGAATTACTTTTGAAAAGCTTTACATGATCATTTTTAAATTCGATACGAATGCACGTCGACTTTGAGAAAAACAAATACTACGGTAGTAAAAGCCACAAATTCCCCCCCCCTCTCCCCCAAAAAAAAGATATATGAAAGAAACATATCTAGGGAAACTGTATTTGAGATAAAACATTAGCTACATGTATTTCGTCGCGACCTTAGCCTTGTGAAATGAAAAGATGATGTCTGGGATTTAAAAATGGATATCATTTTGATTCAGGTTCTTTTAACGCTATCATGTTATCCAATCTCTGTCGCTTACGAATGGCACGAGCAGCTTAGAGCGTGTGCGGTCATTTTGCCCCGGTGTCCAGCCTTGTTATCTGCCTTAATTTCTCCTTTGTTGAATGTACATTTTGTTCAGGCTCAGTTCTAACGCAACATAATGTTTTAAGCTCCCTGACAGAGATGGAGCTCGACTGTTCTTAAAGCTAAAACCGGGCCCCGTGCACACTACTCTGGAGGAATTTGGAAACGTAGATTTCACTGTAAAAACGTATCAAATGTGTCCCCACACAACGCCTGAGGAATTTAAAAGCGCAACAATTACCGGACAATTTGCTTGGATTTGTGTTTGAGGAAAACTCAGTAAGGGAAATCACATGATTATCGTGGCATCATTGTTTTCGAAAAGCTCCGTTTTCAAAATGTTCTCTGTCCACACAAAAATGATAAGCCGGGGTTTTTCAAATTCCTCCAGTCCGAAGAGCGTTTTCGAAAAGCTCCGTTTTCGTGACGGATTAGTGTGGACGGTAGGCCTAAGCGTAGGAAAAAAAAAACGTTTTCAAATTTCTCCTTGGTAGTGTGGACGTTGTTTGGAAGACACTGAGGTATTTCTAGATCAGAAGTCGCTGGTAATTTTTCATGACATTATGCGATTTTATGCATGCTCTCAATTTGAGAATGATGTAACCTGGAGCAGCCTGTAGTTCCATGTGGCAACATTAAGCACAGTTTGAGACTCATTCTAATCTGTTTGTCAATCAAACAATCAGTTAATGAACAATCTAGAAATAATACGAAACAAGATACCGAGGCAGAGTCAACGTTTTGGCGATCATAAACTTTCGACTCTGTTACAGCGTCTTTCTCAAGTGAATGTGGCCGGAATCTCTTTGTCACGTGAGTTTAATTGAAGCAAGTCACGTGCCAAAGCATCCCCGTATAGGGCTGGAAGTTCATATCCACGGTCTCGATTTGGTGTCGGGGACTGGCACAGAATTATCAAGGCCTTACGAATTCTCCTCCTGAAGTTGTTTTATTTTCAAGCTTCCGACCCTATACGGGAATGTTTTGGCAAGTAACTTGGTTCACCCAAGCTCACGTGACAAATAGATTCTCGCCACATTCACTTGAGAAATGACGCTGTGACAGCGTCCAAATCTTGTGATCGCACAAAACAATCACTCTGCTTTGGTATCTTGTTTCTTACTATGTCTACTACAATATCTTTACTCAACATAAAAATAAGTTGAAACCTTTATTTATACACGATGGTAGCAAAGCAATTACTTGTAAGTTAGTGCTCACGATAAAAACAAAAAAATACAATCATGTAGTCTGATAAAATAAATTTAAAACACACAATCAACATGGATATAAAGTTGCTTGAAAAGCAAGCTGTACTAAACTGAGGATAACTAAGATACACCTACTTGTAGTCTTTAAGAGTGATAAGTCAAAAACTTACATTACAAAATAAAAATTCTATGCCTTTGATGTGCACCACTCTGTGTACCGACACCTCACTGGACTACTCCACTTGCAGTCTTGAAATAACAAGTCAAAATTGAAAACTTGCATTATAATAAAATTCCCTTGATGTGCACACTCTGGGTACCGAGACCTTAAGAGACTATGAAGTCTGTACTGCGCGACCACTCTACTTTTTAAAAAAACAAAAATCTTCTGTTTTTGTTTAGTTTTTCCTTTATCCTGAATCCTAAATAGTTATAGCTAGCTTTAAAATGTACAGTACACAACGTACTAAAATTTTCCCTTGGTCTGCACCACTCTGGGGGCCGAGACGTATGGTTGAATACCTGTATAAAGCTGTAGTACACGACTACTTTACTTCTAGTCTTCAACACGTCTAGTTTAAAAAAGTTACATTATACACACTAATTTTATACCAATATGCCCTCAATGTGCACCACTCTGGGTACCGACACCTTGAGGCTATGAAAACTGGGCTTCAAGATCACTCTACTTGTAGTCTTGAATAATAAGTCAAGTAATAAACATTTCATGCCTTTGATGTGCACCATTCTGGGTGCCGACACCTTAAGGCTATGAAAACTGTATTACACGACCACTTTACTTGTAGTCTTGAATAAAAAATCAGGTAATAAACATTTCAGGCCTTTAATGTGCACCACTCTGGGTACCGCCACCTTAAGGCTATGAAAACTGTACTACAGGAACACTCTACTTGTAATCTTGAATAACAAGCCAAGATTAAAAACATATTATAAAAACACTTCATACCTTTGATGTGCACCACTCTGGGTGCCGACACCTTACGGCTATGAACAGGACAACTCTACTTGTAGTCTTGAATAACAAGTCAAAATTAAAAACTTATATCATAATACACATTTCATGCCTTTAATGTGCACCACTCTGGGTGCCGACACCTTAAGGCTATGAAAACTGTACTACAGGACCACTCTACTTGTAGTATTGAATAACAAGTCAAGATGAAAAACTTATACTATAATAAATATTTCACGCCTTTCATGTGCACCACTCTCAGTGCCGACACCTTAAGGCGATGAAAACTGTACAAGACTACTCAACCTGGAATCTTGAATAACTAGTCAAGCTTGACTTGTATTATACCAATTAAAAATGTACCCTAAATGTACACCATTTGCCAACACCTAGAGGTTGTCGCATGAACACTCAATAGTCTTCAAGAATACGTCAACCTAGCATACTTTAAGTTCATAAATAAATGAAATGTGGCCTTAGTACAGCACACTGGCTGTCAACACTGCTAATGAAACATTGCATTAAACGTCCCTATTCTAAAATTCGAATAAAATGCATTTGGCTGCTCTTAAAATAAGTTTGATAATACACTGTACATGCCAATGTCCTTTCGTCTCTACACAGTGATGGGTTTGCCCGTGACACCTTAAGAAGCAACAGTTTTCGTCATTTTATGATTGTGGGTCAGTTGTCTGGTCTGGTTGGGCTGAAACAAAGATGAAAGACATTATGAGGGAAAACGACACACAAGGCTTCTTAAGTAAATGTTTACCCAGACTAAAAAATGTCTTTCGGATTTAAGTTATTTTTAGTAATAACGGTGGAGGGCAATATCTACACACCATGCTACTGATTTAACAGAGGATGAAAGACCAAATCTTACACATTTGAAATTCGGAGGCACATTTCTCATCGTTTGGTAGAGAAAGTCTTATAAAATTATGAAGCAGCTATGTTCTTATTGTAACTATAGAATTTATGTCTCACTTGTTGATTCACAGGAATAACACTGTCAACTTGAACATGTAAAATTGATTTTTTTTGTAATGTCGGTAACGGCGTTTAAACAAAAATATTGGCAGCTTTTGAGAGTTGAAATCAAAGTTCCTCTTCTGCTGATCGTTAAGTACCATGTGACGAATATCTGCACTTGTAAATTTTAAACAAAAACTGCTAAAGAGAAGTATGTGAAAAAAAGATATTTCGGTGACGTGGATTGCCCTCAACTGTTTTCATAACTTCCAAAAATTGATTTATAATTATGGTACACAGGAAGGTTACAGCACATTTGAATGGTTTTACAAAGCCCTTTGATTACCTGTCTTAAATGCAAAAAGATATTGACATAATTCAAATAATTGATTGAAATTTGTAACTTCTGAAAAGACAGAAAGTATCAATGAAACTCATACCAGAGACCATGGTCAAAATCTTTTGAACCAAAGCTCCGCACTGTTTCTCCCAGCTGTACTTCTCATCATAATCTGAACGTAGTGATGTGGCCTCCTGAAGCCTTATCTTCCTCTCTGTTTTTCGCACCCTCTTGATTGCTTTTGCCCAGGTATTCGCATCTTCAGAACCCATTGTAGATGATGTTCCATATTTGACCTCTTTCAGGGCTTCACCAAATCCTGAATCCTCATGTACTAGGACGGGCAGACCAGAAGATAATGCTGCGAGACCCATCATTCCAAATCCCTGTTCACTTGAGGGCATAATGGCCAGGTCTACCTCACAGAACAAGCTTTTCAACTTTTCTCTGCTTTTGGGAAGGCTTCGAATGGTTCGCTGACTTTTTGAAACACCACACTGAGAAAATTTTTCAGCAAATCGCTCATGTTCCCCTTCTGCGGCACCAGCAAACAAAAGGTGATAAGATTTGTCATTCAACTCTGCCACTGCTTGCGCGGCAGTGTTAAGACTCTCTTGTTCAAAATTGTCAGGGTTTCCACTGCCAAGCATTAAGATACGAAATTTTGTTTGCTCAGCAGTAGCTTGTTTAACATTAGAAAATTCACTAAGTATACCAGGAGTGAGTTTGAAAACATGTTTCTCGTGGCCACGGAGGGAAGCCGAAAGATTGTCAGAAATCTTAGGTCCAGGGGCAACAGCAAGATCAGCCGTTCGACTAAGTCCAACATTTCCGTTATCTTCCCATAACTCGCCGCAAACTAATTCACGTCGCCTCTCCTCGAAAGGGTCATTGGCAACATAAATGTTTTTGCACTGGTGTTGTTTCTTGAAAAGATTTGCAATTTTGCCAAGCTTTTCACCTGCACCAACTACGATGTCAGTAGTGAGGTCTCGTGGTGGGAAAAGCAACCAATCAGTAGGGTCATAAAAACCTGGTTGCTCCTCTACTTCAGCAATGGTAACACCATACCTGGCAGCTGCTCCCTTATCAATTTCACCGGATGAATTTTGTGGGACCAGAAATCTGACCTTAACCTCAGCAAATTTTGCCAATTGAATAGCCAACTCTTGGGAAAAGAATGAAGAATCAAAACGTGGAAAACCCCAACTGGATCCTAGGATAGTAACTTCCAATTGACTCTTTGAGGAATAACTTCCATTGCCTTGCTCTTTCACTTGTGCAGCATAATTTGTAATCTCATCTGAGTGTGATGTCTGCAAAAAGAAGAACCTAATGTCTCAGAAGTTACGACTCAGCACCATTAAGTCAAATTTAAATTGTTGGCTCCTAATCACTGTGCAATGTATGGTAGTTGCTGTGCAAAACAAATTAAATGTATTTTATGTATTACATATAACTTTTGGTCTATTTGTTTATCTCTTCACTCTATTGAAAAAGAGGATTCTGGAAACTAGGTGTTTGACTGTTGAACGTCACAGAACATGCACATTTCTGAAGAAAAGTATAATGACTTGACATCAGATAATTGTAGAAATAAGTCATAAGTCACACACTGTATTGTCAATTATTTTCTTGTTGTGTTAAGGAGCTTTGATTTCATCCAGGACAATATCTTACAATTACCAATTGGTATTTTATGATTTCTATAGTTATTGTATTATATAAAGAATCCAGGAACAAAGTGAACCTAGAACATTGAAGCCCATGCTTGAATTTCCTGGGTTGTACTACCTTGTGCCTGCCTGCATACGACTGTATGCACACATCACACGGTAATTAGGATATGGTAAGGAATAAAGGGGGATTAAATATTGTCTTTAACTATTTCAGCGTAAAGTTTGTTTGAACCATCAGTAGATTATAGGGCTTGTACAAGCTGCTAAGATTGCAATCTCAGCTGCAAACAGCAGCCTAGGGAATTTGGGAATTTTTGGAGAATAAGTGACTCTAGGGAATTTCACTCAATAGATTCAGTCACACTGGTCAACCTGTACCAAATGGACAAAATGGGAATCTTTATTCTACTTTATTTTTTAAACGAAAATCACTCTTGAAACACAGACTGGTGAAAGAATAAATAGCAAAGAATCAACCAAAGTGACAGCTGAACACTGACAATTCTAATTTGCCACAAGAATGCCTGCGCTGGAGAGAAGCTGTTGTCAAAGCCGGGAGTCCGTGCTGTGACCATAACATTTGACAGGTCAGCCCTATAATCAGACTGATTACCCCTGTCGGGGGTAACCTGCGATCACAGGAAATTGGAAAAATAACAAGAGACACAGGGGGAAGGGTATGATCACAGGCTAAATACAGGTAAGGGATGCCATTCTTTTCAATTTTTGTTTTTTTTTTTGTTGTAGGTCAGGGGAAGGAGGGAATTTGATTATTTTCAGTTGGCGCTGGCAAATGCTTATTAGAAGAAGTGTGAAGACCCCAATGATCGAAACTAATATAGCTTAATGTAGTGCTCCTTTTATATAAAGAAATATGTGAAAAAAATTTGCATAATTCGTCACAGTTTTATATGGAAGTTATCTAATGTACAAGTCAACGGATCTGACTATAGGTGCCATAATTTTGTCAGACCCCACTTTTTTTTTCTGTGGTCATTATGGGTGTGACATGGAACTAAGGCACAAACATTGGTTTGATTATTTTTAGAGACTTGAGTTAGTGAAAGATTAGACGGCGAGCTTGCAAAGTAATAAACAGACGAGTGTAGCTATTATATGATGAAATCATTGTGGTAAGTAAATACCTCAATCGTAGGCAAAACGATGACATCATGTAGCCTGGAAGGATCATTTATTACCTGTTTTCTACCTTCCATTGCTTTCATGTGTTCGGCAGTTATCTTTGCTATGTCTTCGCGAAACACAGACAAATCAAGTTTCTTTTGATCTGTACACTGCCAGTTCTTAACTTGGTCAACCTCCACTTCAAACTTGGTTGCTTCAAGTTTGACTCCTACAGTGTTCTCTTCTTCAGGGTCAAAAGGAATGCCAAGAGGAAATTTCTTCAGGCTTGTTTTCCCTGCACGGTCCTGGCCAAGTAACATAATACCTTTTTCTATGGCTTCTTTAAAAGCAGCTTCAGTCCTAGGTCCCTGGGCTCGGATTTCTTGCGGAACTAGTGAAAGTGGAATAAAATGTATGATATTTAACATAATAAATCCAATCGATGCATTTCGATTTAAAGGACCGAACAGAGCTCAAATAATTATACTTGAAAGTATTCCGTCCTGTAAATCGCCTTCGTGATTGAACCATCATATAGTCGACCAAAATATCGACATCTATGACTACTAACTACATTTGCTGTCAGATGCGATTGTTGATTGGTGAAATTGACAGACCATAAAGACTGTTTTCGGCCTGTATAATTCCAAAAACTGTACTTCAATAAGGGGACTTAGAAAATACTCCACGTCTCATTTGAGCGAGGTGGTTAAATGAGGGGGACATGGGGGGGTTCTGAACACCGTAACACCGCAAGAAAAATTAACGAACACCGCATCACCGCAAGAAAAGTCAACGAGACACCATCACCGCAACACGTATTTTTAGCGTCATGATTTGAGTCTACACTTAAAATAATACCTTTATACCTCAACAATTTTCCACAAAATAAGCACATCACAACGCTTT